ATGTTACGTCTCCGTTTGTTAATTCATTTTACGTAACTTCAGCGACACAAGTCCTTAGTTAATAAAACTGGTTTATTCTTTCTGAATATAACTTTAACGATACACTTATTTTCAACAGTCGCTCTTTTACAAACGTTTCAACAACGAACGTTAACTTCAACAATACTTCCTGACTGCAGTTCAATTACTCACTACCTACACACACATTGTTGTCACATTGTGAGCGTCTTATATATATACCAGACAAACATATATCTAGTAAATGCTAGGGCATTCACGAAGGAACAAGATAATTCTAGAAACGTGGCGTGACACTAGTCACGTGACCTCGCTGACGCAACAGTATGTTTGTTGCATAATAACTTTCTTAATTTCCACATTGAACTTAAGCTGCAATCATTAGTGCCTGTAAACTTTAAATTACTTCATATGTCTAGGAGTTTATTCTTACCTTGTACTGAAATGTTCTTAAACTGGGGTTGTGTAAGTTGACTGAATATTAAATGGATCACATATACTGCTATAGGTGCATAGATTACAAAAGTTAAAAAATTGCTAGAATTAATAAGCAAATTTGTAAGTAATGAAAATAGTTATGGCACACTTAGAAATTTGCTCCGATAAATTAGGGAGATTTATAACTAGGAAATTATTAAATAATTAGTGAAACTTAGTACTGTAATATTTGCCATATTCATGTCAATTCAATATCACTTCCAAAAGTCTTTTTTCTATCAAATGGATAAAAAAGATAGAACAGACTGAAGCCATCTCCTGAATGTAAACAAACTTTATAAAAACAGTGTTCCAGGTTCAGTGCTGCTCCAGAAATTAATTCTTGAATGTACTCATTCAGGAGGCCATGATTACATGTTATTTCCTGAAGAGTAGTTTCTAACTGACTTTGCAATTTTCATTGTAAATTGCTTCTGCAAAGGTTAAAATGATCAATCTTAGAAAACATATTGTTGCGTCAGCGAGGTCACGTGACTAGTATCACGCCACGTCCTTCTCGAACCTTCGTGAATTGTCG